GACTCTGAGCAACGTGTCTAAGTCGGCCCTGAAGATCTCCTTGGTTGCTGGGTCTACGCTCCTTCTGGTTTTCATCTACTTGTACTAAGGATTTCTTTAATGTAGAAGGAAAACAAGAGTAATCCTAAAAACTTGCAAACCTCAAATCATCCATCAACATCAGCAAAAATCTTAGCAGCATTCTATAATGAAAGATTAAAAAAAACCACTGAGGACAACAGTGTATTTATGATACTTTTACCTTTGAAAGGATGCCTCAATCCTGTTTCTTTCAATCGGTATTAGACATACTGCTTGGGCTTTGCCTAAGCTCCTTTCGCTGTTTTGGGGAAAAAAGTCTATCCCTGGCCACCCACTCTAGCTGATGTCACACACACATCACCACCACACACACTTCCCAAAGAGCTCCTCTTGAGAAACCGATCACTTAGGCATTCAAGGCTCTCGTCAAGTCTGCCCCAATCTACCTTATCTCCAACTAGGTAGGACACAGAATAGGCTCTAGAGATACGAAAATCAAGACATGAAAAGATACATATTTTTTACTATGAGTTTTCAACTTTCATTTTGGCCATTTAAGTCCTTAATCTATCTGGAGTTGATTTTTATATATAAGGGAGGGGTCCAATGTCATCTGTTCCCTATGGATAATCTTTTTCCAGCTTCACTCATTCAACAGTCCCTCCTTCAGCCACTGGCTGACACGCTACCTCCAGCACAGAGCCATGCTCTTCATATACACGTGTCTGTTTCTGGGCTCCCTATCTTATGCCGTGGGTCAGTCTCTTGAGTCCTGCACCAATCACATACTGGCTCTCTACCTTAGCAGCTTAACAAATTCTGATTCCCTAAGGGCAAGTCCCCCTCCTTTTTCTTCTCCAGAAGTATCTTGGCTATTCTTTGTCCTTTGTTCTTCCATTAATTGTATTAATTTCCATGAAGAACCATGTGGGCATTCTGCTTGGAATTACATTGAATCTATGGTACATTTTAGGGAGAATCGCCTATCTCCACAATATCAATTCTTCCTCTACATTGGGGGTTGGCAAACTATGCCCTGCTATCTGTTTTTGTCAAGTTTTATTAGAACAGAGTCATAACCATTTATTTACATCTTGTCTCTGGCTGTGTTTGTGCCACACAGCAGAGTTGAAAAGTAGTGACTAAGACCCTATGGCCCACAAAGCCTAAATATTTCCTACCCGGTCCTTTACAGGAAAAGTTTGTTGACCTCTGCTCTACATGACTATGATATATTTCGCCATGAATTCAGGTGTTTTTACATTTCTCCTCAAAAGGTTTTATAATTTTTCCTAGACTATACTGCACATTTTTGTTAATTTTTTCCTTGATATTTGACATTCTTTGATACTGTTGTAAATAATATCCTATTAGGATATTTAATTCTTAATTAAATTTTCTAGTTGTTTCTGGTTGGTGTATAGCAACGCAACAGATTTTTATATATTATTCTTCTATTTACCCATCTTGCTGAACTCTCTTATTATTTGCAGTAATTTGCAGATTTTTAAACGTATGCAATCATGTTATCTCAAATGACGACAGCTTCATTTCCTCCTTTCCAATCCTTCTGCTTCTACTTTTTTCTTGTCTTACGTTGGTTAGAATTCCTGATACGATGTTGAACAGAAGAGTGTTGAATGGCTTGTGTCTGATCTTAAAGGGAATGATTCCAAAGTTTGTCTATTTAGGACCACGTTTGCTTTCAGTTAAGGAGGTTCTTATCTCCTCCTAGCTTACTAAGAGTTTTAAACATGAACGAGTATTGATTTTTATCAACATTTTTCCTGCATCTACTGAGTTGATCAAATGGTTTTTCTTCTTAATCTGTTAAAGGGACTAATTATATTAATAGATTTTTCTAATATTAAAATATTAATTCAACACGCTTCAGCACAATTCTTTTTTTTTTTTTTTTTTTAAGATTTTATTTATTTTTTCCCCCCAAAGCCCCAGTAGATAGTTGTGTGTCATAGCTGCACATCCTTCTAGTTGCTGTGTGTGGGACGCGGCCTCAGCATGGCCGCAGAAGCAGCGCGTCGGTGCGAGCCCGGGATCCGAACCCGGGCCGCCAGCAGCGGAGCGCGCTCACTTAACCACCAAGCCACAGGGCCGGCCCTAGCACAATTCAACATGCTCAAAATATAATATCTTTTAAATATATTGTTGGATTCTATTTACTAATATTTAACCTAGAATTTTTGCATCTATATTCATAAATGAAACTGGCTAAGATTTTCCTTCTTGATAATTGTCTAGTTTTGGTGTTAGGGATGCTGGTCACAGAGAATGAGTTCTGGAGTGCTCTCCCTTTTTCTAGTGTCTGAAAGAGTTTGTATAAAATTGAGATAATCTGTTCTTTGAAAGTTTGGTGGAACTTGCTTATAAAACATCTAGACCTTTGTTTTCTTTGTGGATAGATTTTTAATCACTGCTTTCATTTCTTTAGGAGGTATAGGATTTTCAATCTTTTTTCCCCTTCTTTCATCACTTCTCATATGTTACATTTTCCTAGATATCTGTCCAAATTGTGGGCATATATTGTTGATAGTATTCAATTATCCTTTAAATTTCAAGTTTATCTATAGTTCTGTCTCTCTTTACTTTTATAATTTTCTTTATTTTTATCTTCTCTTCATTGATCTTGCCAGAGCTCTGTCTACTTTTTTTTCAGTTTTTTTCAAAGAACCAACTTTTTGCTTTATTGAGCTGCTCTCTACACAATGGAGAAGAGATAGCAGTCAAAGCAAATTACAGTAACAAGCAATTTACAGATGAATCTTAGTAATATGATACTAAGTAGAAAAAAGTCACAAAGTTTTTATAACTACTGATACCTAGGTATCCAGAATTTCATGTGACAACAAAGTAGAAACAAAGAAACAACCAAAAACCCAAAGATGCAAAGTTCTGCTTACATCTATAGTTGTAAAACTCCAATCCAGCTCTGAAAGGCTTTGACCCATAAGGGTCAAAAGATTGTGATGCTTCTCCATGACATTCAAGGTGGTTAATGTCAACCAAGAGTTTGAAATTATTGCTAATGTTGAATTGAAAGATTCAAGAGAGTGAAAATGATGATGATGATGATGAAGGTTACAAACATAAGAGTAGGTCATTTCAGCTTTTAACTAGATCTCCCATTTAGCAAAAGGACAGCCGTGCTGTGGCCCTGCCCTCCTGCAGGCTCCTGCCATGGGGCCCTTGTTGTGCGGAGCTCTCCCAACCTTTACTATGGCAGGGTCCAGTGCCTGCTGGCCTGGCCTCTCCACCCGCTTGGGATGAAGTTCCACTACCCACTTTCAAGGCCAGTTTAAGTTTCGCTTCCTCCATGAAACCTCCCCGATCTCACCAGGAATTGACTTCTCTCGAGGAGCTGGTGTATCTGGCTCATCTCCTTTACTAAACCATAAGCTCTTTGCGAGCACGACAATGTCTAACTATCCTTGTATTCACCACAGTGTCAGACACAAGGCCTACAACTCAACTCCCCACTGAAGAGACATTTATTGGGGTCCTATTGTGTGCAAAGGCTTCTTTCTATCAGCTGGGATATAATACAGATATGTAATATGTTTCGTTGCTTAAACTTTCTTTAAAAATTGCTGATATTAGTTTGATCCCCAAAATTCATTCATTAAGTTCTGAGTTCCATCTAGGATTAGCAGTGCTGGTGGGCTAAAGGACTCCAAGTTCCTTATAGTACCATGTACTACATGATCAAAATCACTTTGGGCCAAAGCGAGAAGTCTATATTATGGACAAGATTTTCTATTAATTTAAGAGTATCTAATCTATTTCAGATTTCCATCCAAAAGGGTTGAAAGAAAAGAATGTTTTGGCATTTGTAATATTTCAGCTATTGGAAAATTCTATTTGTATATTACATATGGATATGAACATATACTCTAGGACCAAAATATAAATTCTAATCTCGAGAGGATCAATCAACTTCATAAATATGCAGGTTCTTGAAAATTTTGGTCATATTTACATGGTGGAATAATAGAAATATTCCCTTACAAATACCCTATATTTTAATCAGAGATTTTATCCTATTTTGTATAGCAAAGATAAGGGAGAATGCCAATATGTGAAGGGTGATCTTTCTTTTTTTTTTTTTGGTGAGGAAGATTGGTCCTGAGCTAACATCTGTGCCCATCTTCCTCTACTTTACATGTGGGATGCCTGCCACAGCATGGCTTGATAAGCGGTACATAGGTCTGCACCCAGGATCCTAACCTGTGAACCCTGGGCCACCGAAGTGGAGCATGCGAACTTAACCATTACGCCACTGGGCCAGCCCCCTTCCACCATTTTTGTATGTGGGATGCTGCCACAGCATGGCTTGATGAGCGGTGTGTAAGTCTGTGCCCTGGAGCAGAACCTGCGAACCCAAGGTCGCTGATGTGGAGCACATGAACTTAACCACTACGCCACTGGGCCGGCCCCTGAACTTTCTTGAAGGTAAAAAAGAATGTGAAAATTTAGGGGAATTAAAATTAGCAATACCTTTCCAATTGATTAATTGCTTAATGAATCTTAAAGAGCTACTCGTAAAAATTCAAACAAAGTTTATGACATGATAAAAGTTATACTATATTTATTTGCCAAGTCTCATGCTGAGTCAAAGAAAAGTGCTGAGCAGCAATGAAGACGACCACTTCCCCTTGCTGCCACGTCCCCTTCCTGTCAGGAGGCCAGTGGCCACCAGAGCTGCAGCTGTGGGGTGGGGTGGGGTGCGGGCAGGCCCTCCTGTCTGCACCTTGGTGGGTGGCAGTACCACTTTTTTGGCAATATCCTAGGTAAAAAAAAAAAAGCCTATAACAATGGGAAAAAAATGTGCTCTAAGTTCTAAAAAAAGGATTTTAAGACTTGAGCAAAACTGAGGTGTAAGCTGGGTATCTTCTACACAGCAGGCTTTGAAAAAGATTAACTCTGTGTAACCCCCCAGAGATGATGGAGACACAGAGCTGTACCTGCTTCTCGGCTTCTTTCAGGAGCTTCTGGAATCTCTCATCTTCCAGCACACCTGGCGGAAGGTCAGTCTCTCCCTGAGCTTTCAGTTCCTCCAGCTTTTGCCTCAAGCCCCTCAGGGCCTGCAGCTCATCATTGAGGCGACTCTGCCGGGTTAGAGATGCCTGAAGATCCAGTTCTAAGTCTAGAGATGTACGTACTGGGCATTCTTGTGCTGTTCTCCTAAGGACTGGTTGGCAAACCGCCTGGATAGTTAGAAAACAAAACAACAAAACACTCTTATTACATTGGTAGTCATTATTCCGCTTTTCCTCCTTCCTGGCACATGACAGGATGGCATTTCCTTACTCCCTTGAAGGGAGGCATAACTGGCCAAGTGACTTGCTTTGGCCAAGGAAAGGTGAGTGGGAGTGACATGTATCACTTCCAGGCAGAAGCCTTTCAAAGCCAGTGTGAGATGTGTACATTTCTGTCCCCCGCTAGAGAGACAGCAAAGAGCAGAGATGGAGGCCCATCAGCTTGGGTCCTGAGTAAGGACAAGGAGCAGAGCATCCAGCCAATCTGCAATGAACTACGCAAGAAATAAACCATTATCGTTTTAAACCACAGAGATTTTTAAAGTTGTTACCATAGTATACCCTAGCTTAGCCTGACCAATTTACTACACAAAGCCCACCTACCGTGAAAAACAAACACGTTACCAGAAACTTACATCTCCTCCATTTCAGGACACATAACTGTATCCCCACAGCTTACACCTTTGGCTTTCATTTCTGTAAGTTCTGTCACATAGCTGGTCAGCAAAGGTAAGATTTTTTTTTCTTTTTTGTGAGGAAGACTGGCCTTGGGCTAACATCTGTTGCCAATCTTCCTCTTTTTTGCTGAGAAAGATCGGCTCTGAGCTAACATCAGTGCCCATCTTCCTCTATTTTGTATATGGGATGCTGCCACAGCATGGCTGATGAGTGGTGCATTGGTCCGTGCCCAGGATTCAAACTTGCGAACCCCGGGCCGCCGAAGCAAAGCATGCAAACTTAACCACTACGCCACAGGGCCGGCCCCTGGAGATAAGTTTTTGATTCCCTCCTCTAATCAGTATATTTAAATTCCAACTCCTTCTTCAATTTCCCATTGTCTGATATCTATTTTCACCCCTGAATCACTGGTGTTCTTGCTGAGGCCAATCTCACCCATTTATCAAGAAATAATTATTGAATATGTATGAATAAATATCTGCTGGGGGTTTGTAGGCTAAACACTAGGAAGAGAAGACACACTGACCTTGAAGACTTCAATCAGAGAATGTTATGAGACAGTAAGCAACAGCAAACTGTGGGGTAGGCCTTCTGTGCCACAGGGAGTCAGGGAAGGGAGTGAACATTCAGGGCTGAGACTCGCTTGAGGAAAGCGAGTCTCGAGGAAAGATTGCACAAGCAGAGGGGAACAAGGAGGGCATTTCTTGCCTAGACTGTTGGCAGTGGGAATGGAAAATAAGAGATTGCTAATAAAAACTGGTACTATTTGATACAAGAGAGAAGGGACTCAAACTTGACAAGTATTCTAGCTTAAAGATCTGGAACAGTTGTGGTGCTCATGACAGATGGAAGGGAGAGCGCCTGCCTCTTCTTATTTCAGAGCCTTAGCCAAGTCTGAATAGCCTTCATTGTCTCCTATTCCTCTTCCTCCTTGCCCAACACATACTACTGCAACACTCTCTAACATTCTGTAACATTCTTATTATTAGGTTCCATTTATTAAACTCTGCTCTCTCTAACAAACTTATTACATAGCAGAATCACCCAGATACACACTGTCTTTGACTATTACTTGTTCTTCAGAATCAGAAATCCTTCCCAGTTGTCATGCACATGGAGCCTTTCTAAGGACTCCAATGTGCAGTGGCTTGCGAGTAACTGTTTAACAACTAGCTCACTGATTTGTAGGGTGTGCCAATTTCTTTGGTGTGAATACTCCCGCCATAACTGTTTTCACTTGGGAAGAGGTGTGCACGACCGTCTCTCAAGAGCCAGCCTGAGGAGGCTCCAGCTCTCCACTGCCCACAGGTACCCTCTAACCTCAGGCCTCATATGCCTGGGACTTGGCTTTTCCAGTCAGATAAACCTTCTACTGGTCTTCACAGATGCTTCTGTTCTCTTTCTCCTCTGCAGCTTTTTAATGCTGTAACGCCTAAACCAGAATACCGTTCCCCATTCACTTCCACCAACCGTATCTGTCTACTTTAAAAATCATTTAAGGGCCGGCCTGGTGGCTTAGCAGTTAAGTGCACGCGCTCTGCTACTGGCAGCCTGGGTTCGGATCCCGGGCGCACATGGATGCACCGCTTCTCCAGCCATGCTGAGGCTGCATCCCACATACAGCAACTAGAAGGATGTGCAACTATGACATACAACTGTCTACTGGGGCTTTGGGGAAGAACAAAAGGAGGAGGATTGGCAATAGATGTTAGCTCAGAGCCTGTCTTCCTCAGCAAAAAGAGGAGGATTAGCATGGATGTTAGCTCAGGGCTGATCTCCCTCACAAAAAAAAAAAAAAAAAAAAAAAACCATTTAATAATCATCTCCTACACAACGTTTCAGAATTAATCTCTGTCTGGTTCAAGCAGTTTTAATAACTAAGTTTATCAGTAACCTGACTGTTTTTCAGCTCCATTCAATTCATAAACACTTTTGGTTAAAATTTCTCTGAAAAGGGCTACCATCCTCTGTGCTGTTTAAAAATGCAGGCAACAGGGGGCTGGCCCAGTGGTGTAGTGGTTAAGCTCACACACTCCGCTTTGGCGGCCTGGGTTTCGCAGGTTTTGATCCCAGGCGCGGACCTATGCACTGCTTATGAAGCCATGCTGTGGCAGGCGTCCCACATATAAAGTGGAGGAAGACGGGCACAGATGTTAACCCAGGGCCAATCTTCCTCAGCAAAAAGAGGAGGATTGGCAACAGATGTTAGCTCAGGGCTAATCTTCCTCACCAAAAAAATAAAATGCTGGCAACAGATAAAGGAGTTGAGAAAAACTTTCATTCAAGATGATGAAAATTTAGGTGCTTTTAAAGCATCAAGTTCGCTAATCTGAAAGGTCTATACTGGAAAATTTCCTGAAAATGCCAATACTAAATAACTGCTAGCATATTTCCCTTTAGAACAAAGAAATATGCTTATTACTTTCAAGTAACTAGGATGTTAAACAGGGGAGTCAAATGTTGCCTAGTCATGCATTCAGTATCTTGCACACAGCAGCATTAAACCAGAGGGTCAACGGTGAAGATAACGATTCTAACCCCCTTTCCAGTCTTCACTCCAGTCTTCCCATCCACAGGGCCTGCCCTGGCCCAGCCTGATCACCCCTCGTCCCCTGAATGTGTCTTTCTGCCCCTGTGTCATTTCATGCCACCTACCGACAGCAACTGGTTTCTTCCCCCCACCCCCCGCAAAGCTACCACTTCCTTTGGAAATTTTATCCAGGTGTCAAGGCTATCGACCTCCCTGACGAGGCCTTGTTGATTCTCCCACCAGACGAGCTCATTCCCTCCTTCACCCACCACACTTGAACCGTCCCGTGCGTGCACTCCTCTGAACGCCTCCTCTAGGTAGAAACTCCTCCGTCACCTACAGAGCTGAGCACACAGTGCTTCGTACTGACTAAAAGATACATTTCAATCTGGAAGAACACAGTTTAGTAAATTACTACTAAACAAATTATTAGTAAACCAATAACTTCCCATTAGTATTTCAGCTGTTGGTAACTGCACAGGAATCTCTGAACCACCAGAACAGTCCAAACTTTTAACTTATTTAAATATTCTCTCAGATTTATCCTTTAAAGCTCATCCAGAGACCTATGGCCTCCAGGAAAACTTGACGTGAGCTTTCCCATCCACATTAATCTTAACCTTCTGAAAATATCTGTTCCTAAGCAAGTTACTAAAACCGTGTCTCTCCTGTACCAGACGTCTGTTCCTCAGAAAAGGTACTGGGTGCCATGCTCTTCCCACAATTGCTCAAGAACCACACACGGTGTAGAGACACAGCAGCCATGAGAAGAAATGTGTTCCCCACTCAGTAAGCCCTTCTCCAATCATACTGCAATCTAAATTTCCTGCCTTAAGTATCACGTGATCCAAACCACGATGAACAAGTGCTCTCAAGCACATCCTCTCTCCATCTCCGTAACTGACATAACATTTGTGTCTCTCTGTAATCACAGCGGCTTCATTCAACAGCCCAAGAGCACAGAGCAATGACAGTTAAAGGTTCTGGTATTTATGCTGTGCCATTCATGATTCTGGACAGTCTAGGATAGTGGGATGTTGCTGAGGGAATACATACCCTTTTGACCCTCAAACTGCGCCGTTCAGTGGAGTTTCTCACAAACAGTGATTTTTTAGCCAGGGTTGAACTGTCACTGTCACTTCGATTTAACTGGCAATAAAAGATAAAAAAAAGAAAATCACTACATAAGAGAGTGCTAGTGGAAGTTCAGAACTGAGAAGTTTATCAGATAAAGCAGGTAGTGATAATACAGGTTTATTTCTTTAAGAAAAGCTCTCCCAAACAAGTTTTTGCCTGTTGCATGCTTTTCTTAAATAATTTAATTTTCTTAATTTAAACAATTGCCTTTTGGTGGCAGTTATCACAAGTCATGTGTTAAGATAATTGTACATACTTTGATATAAAATTGTCTCTTGTACTTTTAGCAAATAAGCAATATTCATTTTTTAAAGAAACGTGTGCATAATGTACAGAGCTCAAAATCAGAGTGAAGACACAGTTCGTACAATCTAGCACACTCTTGGACCAGACTCCCTCACCTACTTCAGGTCTTTGCTGAAATGTCACCTTCTCAATGAAGCCTACTCTGAACCCTACGGAAATTTGCGAACTTCGTCCTCACCACACCCAATCCCCTGTAACTTGCTCTACTGTCTTCCATAGTATTGGCCCCCGCTCAGAACACTTCCTAATTTATTCATCATGTTTACTGCTTACTGTTTGGCTCGACTTAGAAGGATGTAAGCTCTGTAAGGGCAGGGCTCGGGGTCTCTTGTTCACGGACGAATCCCAAGTATCCAGAAACACACTGAACAGCAGTGCTTCAGAAAAATGTTTGTTGAATTAAACGAACAAATTTGGAATTTTAAAAGTGTTTTCTAACTCATTTTAGAATATTAAATCTATTTTACTATAAGTCATAAATCCTTCTGGAAGTAGAATATGGTAAGCTGATGCAAATCCCACAATATTCTGCACAGAACTATGAATCTGAATCAGTGTCTAGAAGCATTATTAAAAGATGATTTTTGTTCTAAAACCCAATTCATGGTTCAGCAAGACTAACATGGTTTGAAGCAGAAATATACAAAATGTTATAAATCTCAAGTCACTTTAAGTTTCTAAATGCAGACTGAAGTCTAAATAAACTTAGCAGCCAGGTCCTTAATTTCACTTATTTGCCAAATAAATAGCATTAGAGCCAATGAGACGCTAAATTTGGGAAAAGAAATTTAAAAAAATTCCAAAACCCAAGCTAAAAGAACCACAGAGTGTGATATTTTATGTATACTTTATAAAAGCATTTCTGGCCAGCAGTATTTGTAGTTGGAGTCTGAAGACTCCCAGTGCAGTCTGCTGTCGTTAGGGGCCATCACTGGCAGGAGGGAAGGGCTGGGCTCTCAGCGTCCGGCGGGAGGAGCACCGCTCACTCACCCTGCAGATGTACTGGTTCCGCTCTCCGGGCGAGAAGGTCTGCGAGCGCACGATCACGCTGCTCCTCACGAAGGGGCGCTGCCGAGCGCTCAGGCCGCCGCGGTCCTTGGGGCGAACTGTCAGACTGGCATTACCTGCCTCGTCCGTATTTGTCTCTTTATCAACCTACGATAGAAGTCAGTAATTTGTCAGGAGTGGATGGACGTGGATACGTTTATGCTCCTCTCTTCTAAGTATGGAAGAAATATCTACTGCTACAGCAGAGACCCATCTGGCCCCAGGGCCACTTCTGGGAGAAAGGCTTTGTGCTACTCCTGATGGAAACCCGGGGAGATGGTTTTCTACAGAGTTCTTAAGAAGTTACCCTCTGAGGGCAGGATAACGTCTGTCCCACAGGGTTACCCATAAATGGAGGCGCCACCTCTAACAGATTAGACCTAAGTCTGTCTAGATTTACAGAGCATAAATGTGGCTCTATAAATAATCTTATTTGGGAATGCTTCATCACTAAACATTATTCAACTTTCTGATTAGTTTTTTTCCAGAATAAATGATAAAAGTAATTAAACATAAGAAAATGAAAATATACTACTAAGTTACAGGTTTACATAGAATTACAGGTTTGCAATTATACATATACGACTATAGCAACTACTGTGAAGCTGAGTTTGGATTTTTGCTGAGTTTGGATTTTTACTGGATCTTTGGAAATGTAACAAAAAATAAAATTTAAGTAAAAACAGAAGTTTTTCAAAATACAAATTCTATAGGCATAGGAAGATGTCTATGGTTGATCTTACAGGTAGAACTTGATTCCAAACCTGCCTCGTGCTGGTTTGCTCCTTTATAAAAGGGAAGTCTTCGGTCAGGGCATAATATTATTTTTCTCAGGAATAAAGAAATGGAATTTCCCAAACTCTTTATCAACATCCCAAGTTTGCCAGCATCGTCAAAGCTTGAAAACGATCTTCCCCTCTGGGGATGGCAGTCTCAGTATGTCTCTCACTTAACTAGCAAAGTTACCTGCTTAATAACCTGGCTGGCACCTGTGCCTAAGCTGAGTCACCTGCGACCTTCCAGGAGCGGCTTCAATTGGAACACCATCTGACTAAAATGAACTTCAAATGTTTACTTCATGTTTGAAATTGAATAAACTTACCAAGTGTTTGAGACTTCATACAATTAAGTAGTCATCCTGGTGTTATCCAGGAGATTCTGAAAACGCTATTAACGAACATTCACAGAGATCTAAATAGCACTATTTATCTTCTTTATAAAATTTAAGTGGAGAATGAATATTGTGGGTCCATTCAAAAATTTTAAAGCATTTACAATGCTTCTCACAGCCTACTCCCATAAATGCCTGTCATGATCAGTGTTGGCACAAAACCCTAACATGGAATCATACCCGAAGAGACACACCTGGTCTACACGGTGCCTGGATGCGATTGGTTTCAGGAGAGCACAGTGAGAACACTCACCAGGGTGGGTGTCCCAGCAGGCGGCTGGCTTCCAAGGTCTTTGGCATAGCTGTTGTCTTTCCCGCTCACGTCTTCATTCATCTCAGGCACACTGGGGCATGAACTTAAGCCCTCTGCATAGCTACTGTGCCCTGGCAATTTGACTTCAGCCTCTTCCTCAGCCACCATTTCATCGGAGGCCTCTCTCAGCATTGCTAACCTATGGTGAAACGCAACACACACACTTTAGGTCAGGCAGGCGTGCTCTGCAAACAGTGCACATTAACCATTATCTGGGCGAGGAACAGACTCACACACAATCATTCAAGCCATTTCTTTGGCTAGAACTTTTACTAAAATGCTCACGAAAAATAAAACAATCATCTTACTCTCTAGCAATCTGCAGCAAAACCACCGTAATTTAGTACTAAAAAGTTCAATTCATGAAATTTGACTTCATTCCTAGATATTAAAAGAGATATTCTGAAAATCACATATGAAGTTTAACCCCACCATTTAAAAATATCGACACTCACTACAATATAATTTGGTATTAGTTGTTCATTTATTGTAAAATTATATCATATGACAGAAAGGAGTGACTCGCTGCTAAGAGTGAACAGATATAAGGATTAGAAATATCCATTATCAACTGTGCTCACAGTCCAGCAAAGGTAGAAGGGGATTTTACTACTGAAATAACAGAAGACTTAATGCCATATGATCTTGTCTTTAACAAAAGCCAAGGCACAGGCTTGCGTGGCATTACACGTGAGGGTCCAGAATATAAATACAATTTATATTCTGTATAAACTGTATTGACAGGAAAGCAAGAGTACACGGATGGTTTAGAATATCTCAAGCCTTGTGAGTTTCATGTTCTTAGAATGGAAACATTTTTTCCACTGATAACTAAAAGTGGAGTTTCAACTGTGATTGGTGACATACTGACAACTTGGCACAGACTAGTTATTAAACGCCTAGTCGTGAAACGAATACAGGGACAACTAGCAATGAATACTTTGAATTATAAATTCCTTATGTTACATACTAAGTGCATTTTTTGAAATGTCTATTAAACAAATTGTATTTTACATACCCAAGGAAGGCTGAGTATTTAAAGATACCATGATGAACCTTATAATCACTCTCATATTTATTTTTTTTGCAGTGCTCTGATTTTTATTCACTATAAAGAGCTTTTGATAAGAACAAAGTATATCTGTACCTTTTTACATCACTGTAGTAGCTGTTCCTTCCCAATGTCCATGATTGTGTTATTTATGATATATCCTGTCACTCTAAGTTTGTAAAAAATTTTATATATACACACATGCATGCTATGTATGTACACACTTATATGTGTTAACAGTTCAATCAAATGTAACAGTATACACAACTATATATACAAAATTAATCCAAATGATTTCACATATATACTTAAAAACACTGACACATCCACCAAAATTTGTTTTTAGAGAAAGCAGTGCAAACAAGGAAAGATAGTTCTTTATACATATGTGAATCTATACAAAAGCTGGAATAACCATTTTTTCTTTTTTTTTAAAGGATGGGGTACGGATAATGAGGAGGGAACAGAAAAAGAGGGTGAAAGTGGTAACAAATAGACAAATGACAACTCAGAAGCCGTTTTCTAAATATCTGCTTTGACTTACCAGAGCCTAAATGGTACTTCTGGTAATTTAAAAGAAAAGAGTATCAGTTCTAAAATTTATCTATGACTACAATAGATTACCATACCTTTCAAAACAGAGAGTTTAGATTTAAAATTTTAAAAAGCTCAGGAAATAATGTCAAAATTACCGAAGCAAGAACAAAAAGTCTCACTCGTGTGCTAACTTTGCGCACCAGCTCACCATTCCCTCCTTCAACTCGCTAATGACCAAGGAGAGCCCCTCCTCTGGGGCAGCTCCCTGAAGCCGCACTGCTCTCCATTAATTCCAGAGTGACAGAGGAACCTCTAGAGGTTTCCCTGAAAGTGTCTTATGAGACACTAAACACATCCTCTTTAAGTTCCCAGCAGCAAAAGGAAAGAGCGGTTACCAGTCTCCTTCGGGACCCCTCTGTTCTTCTTCCGGCCCCGGCTCTGCTGCTTCTTCTTGTGCTAATTCTTGTTCCACAGCCAACAGCTCGGCTGATGTTCTTGCAAGTAAGGCCGACACTGCATCCTGGAGAATATAAAACAGACGGCAAGTAACATCATATTCTTTGAGAAATGATTTAAAAACTCATCAGATGGGGATTTATGCTTCCAGTTGTGAAAAAGAAGGTGATACTACAATAGCCAAGACTTGGAAGCAACCTAAGTGCCCATCAAGGGACGAATGGATAAAGAAGCTGTGGTATATATACACAATGGAATACTACTCAGCCATAAGAAACGATGAAATCCAGCCATTTGTGACAACATGGATGGACATTGAGGGTATTATGCAAAGTGAAATAAGTCAGAGGGAGAAGGTCAAATACCGTATGATTTCCTTCATTAAGTAGTAGATAATAACAACAATAAACAAACACATAGAGACAGAGATTGGATTGGTGGTTACCAGAGGGGAAGGGGGGAGGGAGGAGGGTGAAAGGGATAATTTGGTACATGTGTGTGGTGATGGGTTGTAATTAGTATTTTGGTGGTGAACATGATGTAATCTATGCAGAAATAGAAGCGTAATGATGTACACCTGAAATTTTTACAATGTTATAAACCAATGTTACTGCAATAAACAAAAAATTAAAAAAAAATAAAAATAAAAAAATAAAAAATAAAAGAAGGTGATACTAGACCCAATTCTCCTGCTGAGATCAAACAGAAAAGCTGAATAAAATAAAACAAAAAGGAAACAAACCAACTCCAGCTGTTTTAAAGCAATGAAGAACAAGAAAGGCGATCAGGTCTAGAGGGCTGAGATCCCAGGGAGAAGGGAAGTGCAAGCAGGAGACACGGCCATCACTGCCACACTTCTCCCTCGGGAGTGTGTGTCATTCTAGTGATGAGGCATACAGGCTAAGCAGACTGTGAATGCCAGAACTTGGGCAGTGTTGGCAAGATGCAAAGATGAAAACTGAGGTGAGGACTTCCAAGGCAGTCAGCATATGAGGGGTCAGAGAAAATGAAGTGTCAAGTGAGCCCAATATTCCTGTTGAGGCATTTGCCATTCTTTTTCTGTTTTTTTTTGTTGTTGTTGGCGAGGAAGATTAGCCCTGAGCTAATATCTATTGCCAATCCTCTTTTTGCTGAGGAAGACTGGCCCTGAGCTAACATTCGTGCCCATATTCCTCTACTTTTTATATGGGACGCCTGCCACAGCATGGCTTGACAAGTGGTGCGTAGGTCCATGCCCAGGATCCGAACCCACGAACCCTGGGCTGCCGAAGCAGAGCACGTAAACTTAACCACTACACCACTGGGCCGGCCCCAGCATTTGCCATTCTTAAGCTGCATATGTGCAGAGCAAGAAGCTGAAAAACAAAGCAGAAACTACCTGGTCAGAGGCTAAAACAAAACAGTAAGCAGATAGTTCAGTTGCCTTGTGGTCCTAGGGAAAGAAAAATTGGAATTCAGGTCCCTCAAGTGATCCAGGTGATCTGCCCATATCATAATCTGCCTTCCAGAGAACATTACACCCTCTCTGGAGGAAGGTATCAGCCAGAGCCTCCACCATCTTTCATACATAATACCCAGCATCCATCCCACTGGAAATGAAAGCCAAGAAAAACAACAGACAAAAGAGGCAGACCCACAGGTGATCCACATACTGCAGTTATTTAGAGACGAAATTTAAAATTTTACATTAGTATGTTCAAGAAAACAGAGGAAATCATTGAGAATATCACTACAATAAATACAAAGAAAAACACATTAGCACATCAGAGTGAAACTGCTGAAAATCAAAGAAAAAGAAGAAATTTTACAAGCAGGGAAAGAAAAAAAGATGCAATGCCTTTTAAGAATCAACAATTAGACTGTCCTCCAACAGCTCAACAAAATCAATGAAAATCAGATGACAACAAAATGATCTCTTTAATGTGACCAGAGAAATAACTGCCCAGCTAGAATTCTAAATATGCAGCAAAAAAAAATGTCCTTCACAAATGAAGTTAAAATTAAAATAATAGACCTGTACTAAAAGAAATACTAAAGGGAATTCTTTGGGCAGAAGGAAAATGACCCAAATGGAAGGACAATAATGCAGAAAGGAAAAGAATACATCAGAAAGGGTAAAGATGTGGAGAAATGCAAATGTACATTGTTAATAAAACAACAATAATAATAATGTCTTGTGGGATTTAGACTATATGTAACTAAAATATAGGACCAGTAATTGCACAGAAAGAAGAAAGGGAATAAACAGAGTTCAAGTCTTTTAAATTCCTTGCACTATCTGGGAAAAAGTAAAAGCACTAATTTAACGTAGTTTCTAATAAGTCAAGGATGTATGCCGTAATCATCAGGGAAACAGCAAAAAATAAAAGACTGTATTACTAATGATCTAATAGAAGGGAAAATGAAATTTAAAAAATACTTGATTAATCCAAAAGAAGGGAAAAAAGGAACAAAGATAGGACTAAAAGAAAACAAATAGTAAGGTGATAGGGTCAAACCCAAATATACTACTAATAGCATTAATCAAAACCAACTATGTATTGCCTACAAGTAGAACACTTGAAATATAAGGACTCAGGATGAAAGTGAAAGGATGGAAAAAGATAAACCATGCAACACTAATCAAAAAAAGACTGATATAGTTTTATTAATACCAGACAAAATAGACTTTTAAAATAAGAGGTACTATTAGAGATAAAAAGGAATATTTTATAACGATAAAAGGGTCAGTTGAAGAGAAAGATACAATATAATGCTCAATTTATATTCACCTAATAACACAGACACAAAATACATACAGCAAAGACTAACAGAACTAAGAGGAGAAAAGACACCTATAATCATAAGCTGGAGATTTTAATATATCTCTCAATAACAGATAAAATAAGCAAGCTGAAAAATCAGCAAATGTAGAAGATTTGACAAACCAAATTAACAAACTTGACCTGCAGAAACTACATTCTTTTCAAGAGCACACAGAACTTTTACTAAAACTGACCACATGCTAAGCCATAAAGCAAGTCTCAATATTTTGTATGATTGAAGAGTATGTACCCTGTTCTCCAAAAACAGTGACATAAAACTAGAAATCAATAACAAAAAGATAACTAGAAAGCTCCACTGTTTGGGAATTAAGTAAATATACTACTAAAAAAACTCATGGATCAAACAAGAAATTACAATGGAAATTATAAAATATTTTTAATTCAATGATATTTTGATAATGTCACATTATCAAACTTCTGGAAAGCAGTGAAAGCTGTGCTCAAAGAGAATTTTTTAGCCCTAAAAGCATATATTGGAAAAGAAGGTTGCAAAACAATTATCTAAGTATCATCTCAAGAAGTAGAAAAAGAGCAGCAAGTTAAAGCCAGAGAAAGTAGAAGCAAGGAAATAATAAAGAGCAGAACTGATAAAATAGAAAACACATATATAATAGAGAAAAATCAACAAGGCCAAAAGTTGTTTCTTTGAACAAAATAAAAAATCTGACAAGTTCTTGCAAGAGTGAGAAAAAAGAAGGCACAAATTGCCAATATCAGGAATAAAACAAGAGTACACAGCAAAATCCTTGCATATATGAAAAGATGATAAGAGCATATCATGAAAAACTTTGTGTCAAAATTTTCATAATTTAAGATAAAATGGACAAATCCTGTGAAAAATACAACTTACTAAAACCAATGCAAGTATAGAAAGTTGGAATAGTCCTATAACTAATAAAGAAATTGAATCTGTAATTTAAATACAATCCACTAGCCCTTTTCAACTGGAATTCCAAGAGAATTAAGCCCTAACGCCCTCAGGCATCCATTATGCTAAAACAAAACAAAACATCTAGAAAGAGATAAGTTATATACCATCCTTGGGAGAAATAAGAAAATAGTCACTGAAAACACTTTTTGTCAGGCTTACTTCTCTCACAGAAGCCTGGCTGAGAAAGGCTGCTTCTCACAAAGAAAACTACAGGGTGGGTGGGTGAATTCTCCCAAATATTTAAGGAAGATGACACCTATCTTACAAAAACTTCTGCAGCAAGTAAAAAAGAAGGAATATTTTCCAACTTGTATTGTGAAGCCAGCAAAACCTTGATATCAAAAAATGACCAACACATTACAAGAAAAGAAAATTAAAGACTAATCTCCCTCATGAACATAAATGAAAAAAACCCCAAACGTAAAATCAAGAAATCAAATCCAGCAATATATATAACACATATAAAACACACCACAACGAAGTCAATTTTATTCCAGGAATCCAAGGGCAGTTTAACATTCAGAAGTCAATCAATGTATAATCCATCACATTAAAAGAATAAAAGAGAACATCCATGTAATAAGAGCTATAGTAAAAATGTTTGATAAAATTCAATACCCACGCATAACAAAAACTCCTAGCAAACTAGAAAGAAAAGGAAACTTCCTTAATCTGATAGCAATGATCTATAAACAGCCTCAGAAAAATCATTCTAAATGATGAATTATTGAAAAGGCTTCACTTTGAAAAAGTATAGTATTATCTACAGAGGTAGAACACTAAGCCAATGGAACAGAATAGTAAATCCAGGAACAGACTCACACATGTAGAGGCCGTGTAATCTATGACAGAGGTGACACTGCAGTGCAGTTGGGAAAGAAAGTACTTTCAACAGATGCTGGGTCAATCGGCTATCATACGGGGCCGGCTCCGTGGCTTGGCGGTTAAGTGTGCGCGCTCTGATGCTGGCGGCCCGGGTTCGGATCCCGGGAGCGCCCCGAGGCACCACTTCTCCGTCCAACGTGAGGCCGAGTCCCACGTACAGCAACTAGAAGGATGTGAACCTATGACATGCAACTATCTACTGGGGCTTTGGGGGGAAAAAACTGAATAAATAAAATCTTTAAAAAAAAAAAAAAAAAAAATCGGCTATCATACGGATAAAAAGAAATCTTAACCCCTACCACGTACCTTACACAAATTTAATTTCAGATGGATTAATTTCAGATCAGATCTAAATATGAACAGTAAAACAATAAAGCTTTTATAAGACAATACAGGAAAATATCTTTATGGCCTTTGGGTAGG